TAAAATACAATTTTTTAAAAAGGAAAAGAACATTAACTTAGTAGTTTTTAAAAACAAAAAGTTGGAATATAAAAAATTTTAGTTTTCATGAGACTGCCTGGCAGGCAGACTGAGTTAAAGGATTCTTTGCACCATGTTCTTGTAGATCTTTTTACTTGTTAGGCATTTAATGAGATAGTTAATCTACCAAACCAAAATGCAGTCTAACTGCCATTGTGTTGCTTCCAACTCTTAGCAGCTCTGTGGATCATGGGACAATGTTTAAGAGCCCCAGAGAGTTTCCAAGGCAGTGAATCTTGACAGAAGCTGACTGCCTTGTCTCCTCTACTGCAGAGCAGCTGGTGGGTTTGGACCACCATCCTCTTGGTTTGTAGCTGAGAATTTTGAACATTGCACCACCAGGACTTTTTTAACATCTACATAATATGAATCCGTTTTGTGATTATTTCCCTAATTACTAATTTTCCTAATAACTTCTGGGTGAATTTCTAATTTTATAAAAAATATTAACACCTTTGTACATGTGTCCAATTATTTCCTTAGTTTAAATGAATATATTTGAAAAATATTATCTACAATCATATACAGTACATATTTTATAGGATTTTTTTGTATTGAATTAGATAATATTTTCAGTGAAGATTAAACATACTAAAATTTTAAGACTTTTTGGGTAGTATGGTTGCTGCGGAAGCAGTGATGTCAGTTTGAAGACTAAGCTGCTTCTGATCCAGGACATGGTCTTTTCATGCATCTGAAAGCTAAACAATATGGATGATGGAAGAAGAATTGATGCCTTTGAGCTGTGGTGTTGGAGACGAGTACTGAATATCCCGTGGATGGCCAAAAGAACATACAGATACATCTTAGGGAATATTCTTTAGAGGCAAGGATGGCAAAGCTTCGTCCCACATACTTTGAGCATGTTGCTTGGGGAAACTGTTCCATGAAAAGGGACATCATGCTTGGAAAGGTCAGCAAAAGAGAGGAAGACCCACAATGAAATAACTCACATAGAGACTGCAGCAATGGGCTTATGTGTGTGATGATGAGACTGTCACAGGATAGGACAGGCTTCAGATCTGTTGTTTGTAGGCTTGCTATGCTATGAGTGGTACTCAACTTGTCGACACCCAAGCACCACCACAACAATGGTTGCTGTTAGTGATTTTCATTGTCTCAGTCTTCCCACTAGACTTTAAGTTCCCAGGTAGACAATCACCAGAAATTGCAATTCCAACTTACATAAATAATAAGGAAATTCCATTCCAAGAAACCCAGAGAAATGGTAAATTCAGAACTGTTTGCATTTAGGAGCTGAAGAGGATCAGTCATGAAGGACTAATCAGGCATTCCTTCTGTGTCAGCAGCCATCCTTGTTGTATGAGCTCTGTCTTCAGTGTAGCCTGTGGCACAGTGCTTGTTCCGGTACCAGGAATCATCACAGAATCCAAGGAAGAGGAGACTAACTCTGGAAAGGAACTATGGTAGCACTACCGTTAAGCATTCAGCCACCAACTGGAAGTTGTCTATTCAGACCTACCCAGCAGCTCCACTGGTAATCTTCTCCCTTAGAAATGACAACTAGGAAATCCCTATAGTGCAGTTCTCTTCTGTCATGGCATCCCCGTGAGTCACAATGTTACTTCATGGCACCTAACAGCAATATAACATATACCTTGTTTGTTTTTTTCCATTTTTTATATTCGTTGATATAAAAAATTCATCTACATTGTATTTCACACATTCCTTCATTCACATTGTGTTTCAGACAGTCTTTCCCATACATTATGTTTTATAAAAGTAATCACCATTGATTTATGCCCTCTATTATGCCATATTTTTAAGTCCCCACTGGACCTTTCCTAATTCCTTTACCCCCCACCCCTGCCCACCTAACACTGCAACTGTGGTTTCCCCCTTCCCCACCTTCAGTCTCCTTGCCACCTCCCTTTCCCCCTCTTTCAACTGATATACACATTTTACTAGTTATCCTTTTTTTTTTTTTTTACAATAATAACCCAGCTATTCAGTGCTAGGAATACACACCAACCAAAATAGAACTGAGACACAAATGGAGATTTATACACCAGTGTTCATAGCAGAGTTACTCACAATAGCAAGAAAATGGAAACAGCCTATCAACAAACAAATGGATTGAGAAATTGTGGTGGGTTCACATGATGGATTAGGACTCAGAAGCAACGATTTCAAAAAAATATAACATGGGAGAAGCTGGAAAGCATTATTCTGCACTAACTAACCCAGACTTGTAAGGATAAATGCTGTATAAAAACGTATTTAAAAGCGGATTCATCTCTGAAGTGTACAGCCTATTACTCCATATTTAATGTACCATCATTGATACCCTTTTACTGTGACAAACAGTAATGCATATTTTTTACCTCATGTACACATTTCTGCATGTGTATATTTCTCTGTAAAATTAAACATATATCTAAAATAAAAGTTCTTCAAGGCAATACTGTCTATCCCTTACTGCATTTGATAAAGTTCAATACTATTTTGTTTATAGTTAAATACGTGGTAAGGAACTGCACTGCCAACCCAAAGGTCAAGAGTACCAGCTTCTCTGTGGGAAAAATATAGACAGTCTCCTCCCAGGTGATTTACTGCCTCTGAAAACCTGCTGGAGAGCCAGTTAGGAATCAACTCTGACTCAGTGGCGTGTAAGAACAACCAACCACAGACTAAATTAGGGATAATTTAATATACAGTTATGAGCTATTCATGAAATTGTCCCAGTCTAAGCTAATTAGAACAAAGTCATAAGTATGCATGAGTCATTGAGCTAGTTACCTAGTACAGAATACTAAATCATAAAACAACTCAATGCCTTTTTTTAATATATAAATTGCTTCATTTTCTCAACATATTTGTGATATGCATTCATATTATTTTAAGCTGTTGAAGATCATTCATTCTTATTATTAAGTGCTTTATTGTGCAAATATGCCACAATTAATTTGTCCATTTTACTTTTTACAGTAAAATGTAATGTCCAGATTGGGATGTTAACAAATACAGTGATGTACATTCCAGTCCGTGTACTTCGGTGACCATGTTTACACATTTCTCTTCCATATATACCTAGGAATGACATTTTGGGGTCTGAGATTATATTTTAAAACAAAGGACTGTACCTATATGTTTATATTCCCAGCAGAAGTTTTTAGGTATTTTTGTTCCTGCACATTCTGTTTTAAGAGTACTCCCTAAGTGTTTAAAGATTTTTTTTTAATGTTTATCATTAGAAAGTAAGCTATCAACTTGTAAGAACATTATTATCAATAGTATATCTGGGGTCTCTTTTGTTGATTTTTTTTTTGTTTATTTTTTTGGTGTTCTTTGTTTTTGTTTTGTTTTATAAAACCATTTTAAAAATAAGGGGGAAGATCCAATATGAAAAACAGTGTATATGAACTTTATAAACTTTGTAAGTAAACCAGTATAAAATTTTAAAAAAGCTTGTTTTAAAATCATGCAGTTATTTTTTTTTTCTATTTGATAAAGAACTCGATTCAACTCAGAGATTGCTGAAGAGAGTCAGTGTTTTTCTCTCAATTTTGACAGTTAACTTTTTTTTTTTTGACACTGTTAACTCTTTAAGATCTGGTAGTTGGACTTGCCTTTACAGTTTTTACTTCATTGTTCTGTTTTTCTCCTAAAAAAATAATATTCATTTCTAAAAACAAAATTAACTGAAAGCATCAGCACTTTAGTGGTATATGATAAATAACATTCATATTGGCTTTGTGTGGTTAGGTGCCTTCAAGTCAACTGCTGCTTATATAAATCTCCTCTGAGCAGCAGCTCTGAAGCTCGCCCGACCCTGCACCATCCTCATAACCTCTGACATGCGCAAGTCCATTCTTACACTCACTGTGTCAATCCATCTCGAGGAGGGTCTTCCTTGCCTTCACCGACACTCCACATCATGTCATTTTCCAAAGACTCTCCCGTCCTCGCTCAGAGTATCTGAGGCAAAATCTCACTATTCCATACCTTTAAGAAACACCTTGGTTGCATTTTTGCAAGACAAAGATTTGTTTGGTTTTGTGGATTTTTGGGGCAGTCTGTGGGGTTTTAAATACTCTTCGCACAATTCAAAGACATTGATTCTTCTTCAGTCTTCCTTATTAGTTTCCAACTTTCAGATACATACAAAGCAGTTGGAAAAACTATGTTTTGCATCAGATGGACCTTAATATTTAAATGGGCATTATTGCACTTTAGCACTTTAAAGCCATCCTTGACACCAGATTTCTTTTGAGCAACATGTCTTTTGATTTCTCAATCACTGTTACCATGTTGATTTTGGATCCAAGTAAAATGAAGGCCTTGACAATTTGATTCATTTTTCTATGTATCATGATTTTGCCTATTGGTCCATTGTGAGTATTTTTGTGTTCTTGATGTGTTATGTAATCCATATTGAATACTGTAGTCTTTGATCTTCCTCAGTAAGTGCTGCAAGACTTCTTTAGTTTCTGCAATCGAGGCTTTGCCAGCTGCATAATGCAGTTGTGGATGAGTCTTGCTTTACGACTCTGCAAAGTTAATGGTCTTCAGTCAGTGGTTAAAGTGACTAATATATCACAAGATCAAATGATGTATCATTGAGCAAAATACTTGTTCCTAGTTAATTTATGTGTTCCTCTCTCATGATAGACTAGTTGGCTGAATTATTTATTGCCCTATTCATTTCGTGTTCAGGATTTGTATAAATAGCAGTTTAAAGACTAAGGTGTACCTGACTAAAAACCTCAAAACTCATTGCTATCAAGTCAGATCCAACTCAGAACTGACACTGCAGTGGATTTTCAGAGACTGAAATCACCCGGGAGGAGATTACCCATCTTTGTGCTGCATTGCCAATGTTGGATTAGAACCACCTTTGACTAATATCCAAGTAATGGAATAGCCCAAGAACTCGATCTCTCTTACTTTTCACTGATATTTGATCTTTGTCTTTTCAGCATGATGTTTCCCAGATTTTACTCAAGGCAACACTGGACAGTATTGTAGAAGAATGTGTCAGCTTTGTGGGAGTGGATATTAACATCTGTTCAGAAGTTTTGTTAAGGTGAGACAAGAAGTCTGTGGCTGAAGATCACAGAATCTTGAATTTAATTGGATATCCAGGCCTAACTCTGCTAGAACAAGAGGCACATGTGTGTAAAGTTGTCAAATACCGAAAATCTTTGGCTTCACGTAGCTTTAAGTAATCAGTCTGAGGGGAAGACATCATTTAGGAAAACTATTGTAACAATTCACATTATCATCTTTAATACAGAAAATCCAAAGTGAAGAGCATATGGTAACCATTGAGTGTATTAGTGTCGTTAATAGAATTTAAATAAGGTTAACATGAAAAAGAGCTGCTTCCCACCACATCAGACAGATACTTTTCACCAATTCAGCCCCTTGCATTTATCTGTCAAAGCTGGCAGTAGCCAACAGTCAAATTCTGAGAGTTCAAAGTATAGTTACTATATTATCATGTGATTCTCAAGTTGCATATCAAAATCTCTATTATACAATAATCACATCTTAAGTACTCATTTTTTTCTCTTGTTATGCAAGAGAACTGGAAATTATTTTTTTGTTCATAACCTTGCATTTATTTCACAAATCTTCAGATAAAGCATGAAATTAACAACATCTAGGCCGTTTGGCATTGGAACAGGTATAATGTAAAATATCTTTTAGCATTTAAAGGTGCTGCTTTTTACCATAGATACCAAAATTCCAAAATTTCATAAAAATGAAAATTATCTGAAATGATGTTGTTAGGTGCCATCGAAACAGCTCTGAGCCCTGCTCTATCTCAAGCCAATTTAATTGTATCCAACATGCTTACTGTCATTACCCCAGTCACTGAGTCAGTCCATCTCATCCGGGTTTTCCTCTCTTATGCTATCCCTCCACACTTAAAGCATGATGTCTTCCAAGGACTGGTTCTTTTTGACAACATGCCCAAAGTATGAGACAGAGCTTCAAAATCCTTGCCTCCAAGGAGCAGCCTGGTTTCACCCCCTCCATAACAGAACTGTTTGTTCTCTTAGCAGTGCAGTACTCTTTCTTCCCCAACACCAAAACTCAAAGGCATGGGTTTTTCCTTCCATCATCCTTAGTCATTGTGTAGTTCTCTGATGCATAGCAAATAATTGCGAAGACCATGGCTTTGATCAAGTGCACCTTAGTCTGTAGACTGACATCATTGCTCATCAGTACTCTGGAGAGGTCCCTGACAGCAGATTTTTCCAATGTAATTCATCTTTTGACTTCCTAACTGCTGGTACCAAGGATACTGAATGTAGAACCAAACAAGCTGAAGCTGTTAATTATCTCTTTGCCATCTATCATGATGCTTTCAATTGGCTCAGTATTGAGAATCCTTGTTTTCTTGATGTTTTGCTTCAATCCATACTGAAGGATTCAGTCCTTGACCTTCTGCAGCAAATGCCTTATCTCCTTCTCAGTTTTTCTGAGCAAGGTTGTATCATCTGCATAATGCAGGTTGTTGATGAACCTTCCTCCCATCTTGATGCCATATTCCTAGTCGTAGAGCCCAGTCTTGGATTATTTGTTCCCCATATAGATTGAAAAGGTGTGGAGCTAGGAAGCATCCCTGACATACACCTTTCTTGATCTTGAACCATGCAATGTTTCCTTGCTTTCTTCTGATGACTGCCTCCTGGTCCAAATATAGGTTTTGAATAATCACAATCAAGCATTCTGGGATTCCCATTCTTCTCAAGTTTAGCCACAATTTCTTGTGATCCACAGAGTCAATGAAACACAGATACTGATATTCTCTGCTTCTAATTAGATTCATCTAACATTGGGTGTAATGTCCCTAGTGCCACGGCCTCGTCTAAACCCAACCTGCACTTCTCTGTTGATGTTTCAGTTCTTGGATGATCTTTAGCAGGATCTTGTTTGTGTGTGATACTAATCATAATATCCAGTAATTTCCACACACTGTCAAATCACCTTTTTTTGGTATGGGAACAAATACAGATCTCTTCAAGTCAGTTGGCCAAGTAGTTATCCTCCAGATTTCTTGATGCAACCTGGTGGGTGCATCCGGAGCAGCATCTGTTTTTTGGAGTATGTCAGTTGATATGTTGTCAATTCCTGGGGCCTTGTTTTGTTGTTTTGGTTTTTTTTCCCCCAATTCCTTCAGAGCACCTTGAATTCCTCCTTCATCATCATTGCTGCTCGATCATCTTTTAATTAAACAGAGAAAACTGTGTAATAATATAGTATTTATGCCTGTATATAAACCATGGAATTGGTTAAGTTCCCTTATTTACCTTCAATTCTTACATCAATTAGAATTTAATTTCATCTCTTTATAGTAGTTAGAATAGATTTACCAAAACAAAACAAAATAGTACAATACAATTCTGTCAGTTATGACTTCTCCTACTAACTCATTTTATAAGCTAAACAGGAATAGGCAGCATTATTACTGATTCAGAGACATAAGGAATGTGAATAGTGTAGAAATACACTGGAAAGTGGCTTTTTTTTTACATCACTGTTAAACTGTTTACCTCCATTTTTATAATGTCTCCTAGTTTTGTGATTCTTTTACATTGTGTCGTCATTTGTCCAATTAAATAACTCTTGTCCTCTACATTTATCTCCTACTTGGAGACTTCTGACAATATGTAATTGCAAATTGATATTGTTATCTTAAGGAAAATAGTGTCTTTTCAGATTAGATCCTTTTTCAGTACCTTTTAATCTTCATCTCTGCCACATCATTTATTCATTTTTTTGTTTTTGTTTTTGCTTTTTGTTTTTTTAAGGCATATTGCAGGACTCAATGCCAACCGAGCCAAGAATATTATTGAATGGCGAGAGAAAAATGGGCCCTTTATCAACCGTGAACAGTTAAAGAAGGTCAAAGGACTAGGTCCAAAATCCTTCCAACAGTGTGCTGGCTTCATCAGAATCAACCAGGACTATATTCAAACATTTTGCAGGTGATTATTAAAATATATACTTTTGTTCTATTATCATCCTCTCCTTTCCTTACCTTTGCACATCATACTCACTGATGTAAGTCCTACGTGCCCTCGTGTTCTTTATTCATTCCATGTCTCTCTTGTCACACACAGTGATTGGTTCTGGAAATACAGGAGATTTCTTGTTTTGATCAAAATAGCAAATTCCCCATTTTCTTTAGTTACATTTTTAATGTATTCAATAAACTTGTAAATATTTTAAAATTGTAATATAGACTGTAAAAATTAATGTGTAAATGTTTTGGTGAGTAGAACTGAAATGCTTCCATGAGATGTGATACTCATTGAATAGAGTTTTCAATTAATGAAAGAGCAGTCAGCACAGATATCAGAACGAAAGTATTTCAGGCAGAACAAACAGTAAATGTGCAAGATCTTAAGGTAGAAGCAGCACTTTCTGATGGGGTAGTCCATAGAGAGTTGCATGCTAACCCTAAGGTAATGAGTCTCCAGCAGGGAAATACACCGGGAACTCCTTAACAGAAAGATACACAGTCTCCTCCTATTATGATCAACATTATCAGAAACCAGTAGATGGTAGATAGGAGTCTTATTCAACACAATGACAGTTGAGTGAGTGACTGAGTAAAGGCGTAAAGGCTAGTGTGACTGGAGCATAGCTAGTGGAAAGACTTGGCATGAAATAACATTGACTTTAACAATGGCCATTTTATATTAATATCGTTCTTTCCACTTCTTAAACAACATGCCTCTGGAAACTATGAACTTAGAGAAACATAGAACAAGGGTTCAGTCTTTTGTTCATAGAGTCGTGCTCAACTCAATGACACTTAACAACAATAACAATCTTAAATAGGCCTCACCTCTCTCTACCTACCCAAGAATCACCAATATCTTAAATTTTGGCTGTGCAGATTATGAGCAAAATTATTCCTTCCTGTTCCTGGTAGCATAAAAAGAGAAATTATTATATAGAGTAAAATTCTTAGCATTTTGTGACAATGAAAGAATACTTTTTATGTGTCTGCTACTTTTGGTCTACTCAATCTATTTATTTATATATAAATATATAAAACTATATTAATACTTATATAAATACTTATATGAACATAGTACAGATATGGGTTTTTTTTCCCTTTTGACAAGCTATAATAATAGTCTTATAGAAAAAACCCTTTTTTACCCTGAAAAAGCACCAAAGGAAAACCAGTCCCACTATCAGATATTAGAATGCATTATGACATTATAGTCATTTAACAATTTGGTTTTTTATCTAGATGTAAATAGAGTAGTATTGAGAGAATCTGAAATATACCAAAATATAGGTGGAATTTAGTTTATTAGGGATGACATGTAAGCCACAGCAGGAAAAAAAATTAAATCATCCAATAAATGGGATTACTAGGAAAATCAAGCATTACATTTTAAAAGAATAAAACTTAAAGTAAGAAGCACATGACCTATAATGAGGTAAATCATGACAGCAGCAATATTGAAGGGACAGTCAGAATGGTTGTATAGGAACAGAGTTTTTGCATGCTAATGAACCTCTTTAGTATCAATTTAATCTAGATTGTTAGATATTTAGGTTATGAAGAATAATCCCTATGTTATGACAATGAAAATATCTTAAAAATTTACACAAAGGAAATGAAAATGGTTCATTAACCCCCCAAAAATAAAATCCATTAGAAATAAATAAAATGAAAAATAAGATGTCAGTGTGGGACAAAATGAAAGCTAAAAAAGCAATGTTGTTCCTGTTAGATGATGATTATTTCAATTCACAGTAGCCCTATATAGAGTAGAATTAAATGCTGCTCAGTCGTGCACCATCCTCGCTGTCACTGCAGCAGCCACTGTGCCCACCCCTCTCATTCGGGATCCTTTAACTGACCCTCTATAGTCATCAGAGAGAAAGTTTGGTATTTTACTCATTGAGTCACATATAATGACAGACCCTCCACTGGGTTTCCTAAACTGTTAATTGCACTGGAGGAGACTGCCTATCTTAATCCCTTAAAGCCACTAGTGGATTCAAACCTACACAGGCATGGCCTTTAGGTAGCAGCTCCCTATGGACTACACCACCAGAGCTCCCTCTCCACTGTGTCTCATTTCATTGCTGTTGAGTCAGAATCAACGTACAGCTGACCCTCCAGTGGGTTTTCCAAGGCTGTAAGGCATTCAGGAGATTTCCCTTTTATTGCTCATTTAGCCGTCACTGGTGAACTTGCACCAGCAGAGAGGTGATCACTCTCCCTATGGACTACATTGTGTTGTTGTATACTGTTGGATCTGGAGTTGACTGATAACTGACCCTCTGGTAGGTTTTCAGAAGCACTTAATTGCAGGGGAGGAGATTTCCCATCCTTCTCCCCTGGAGCATCTGGTGGACTCAGACCACATGCCTTTGAGATTGCAGCGCAGCTTCTCTAGTCCCTCCTAATGGCTTCTAAAGCACATTCTGAATGTACTTCCAAAATATATTTGTTCTCCTATTCATCCATGTGTATTTAATATTTTTTGCAATGGGGGGGTCAGGGCATGCAGAATCATGCTTGGCAGAGGATCAGTGAAAGAGGAAGACCCTCAGGGAGGCAAAGGTTAATCCCAAGCCACTTGACAAAGTGACCGCAACAATGGACTTAAGCATAGCTGCCATTGTGAGGATGATGAGTATGGTCAGTTAAGTCGTGGGTAGGATCTCTGTGAGTCAGAACCAACTATACACCACCCAACAATAATATATAACCTGAACTTTTGGGTTCTGGTGTCTAACCTAGATACTGCATATAAATGGGAGTATGTTTGTTCTTTAGTGTATAAATTCCTTTTGGTTTCTCTCCTTGTCTTCAAATCTCATCTTTATCTTCCGTTAGAGGTTTCAAAGTTGTATGTCTTGGTGGCCTTGTGGATAAGGAGTTGTGCTGCCGTTCTAAAGGCAGGCAGTTTGAATCCACCAAGCTACACCTTGGAGAAAGGTGGACAGTCTCCTCCTATGAGATTTACAGCCTCTGAAAACCCCCTGCAAAGTCAGCTGTGGGTCAGTTTCGAAACAATGGAAATGAGAATTAGAGATTCTTCAGGGTGGTCACCCTTAAATTTGGGATTTTTGTTAAGGATCTTTCTGTTCTCCAAAAGATGATTACAGCCTTAGTAATACTCTTTTCATCTCCACCTCAAATTATTACCTGGTATTTAGCTCACATCATAGTTGCTGGCACATTTTAGAGGTGTTTTTTTCAGAGGTGTTGTGTAGGTTGTGCTTAAGTCTTTATAGGTTTGAAAATTAGTTTAATTTGCCTGACTGCTAGTTTATCTAGGCATATGATTCTAGATTAAAAGAACTTTTTATTATCCTTCAGAACTTTACAGATCTAGTTCTGCTGTATTCTGGCATCTGACATTTTCCAATGAGAAATTTGATGCTTGTCTAATTATAGTTCCTTTCTAAGTAATTGTTTTATTTTTATCACTTGAGAGCTTTTGGGGCATTTTTAACACATAACATGTATTCTAAAGTTTCCTCAAAGTATGTCAAGTATCAGATTTTCCCCATTGATTACTTTCTATACTCAGTGAGTTATTTTAATAATTCATGCTTTTCTCTAGCTCTGGAAAATCATATTAATATTACTTAATGTTTTTCTCCTCTATTTTCTCTGTCCTCAACCAGAATGCCATTTATAAAAGCTGAGTCAATTAAAAATGCTTTTGACTTTAAGAACAGAAATCTTGTAAACAGAAGTTTAAACAAAAAGTAAAAGTTTTATAAAATATTTGATTAAAATCTGCTTGTTGTCTGTGTATATTTATGTAGCAGAGCAATAAGCACATTAGAAACTGTTTTCTACTCAACCTCTCTCTTTTTTTTTAATGGTCTCAGTAGTCAGCACACTGACTCTTCAGCTGATGTTGGGGTAACAAATGAGAAGCAAGGCAAGAAAAAGAGCAAAACTCCAGTGAATGTTGTGCTAAAGCCAAATCCCTTGGACCAAACTTGTATTCACCCAGAATCATATGACATAGCAGTGAGGTAAGTCTGAAGTCTTTGTGAAAATTCTCTGTGTCCAGAGTGAGCAAATGGCCTTTGTTTGGAATAGTGAGGACTAAAAAAATATGACCATATTTAACATGACACCATTTTTCAGAAGTTCCGCATTACTTAGTTATGTGACACTTTATTTTCTTTCGGTGAGAAATGAAACCATTATTCCTGGCACGGTGTCAAGCTCATAAACCCTGGTACTAATGGTGAAGTGTGTGTAATGGAAATTGCATGGCACTCTCCTCTGTTTGTTTTGGAAATTAACAAGACACAATTGACTGGCACCTGGCTTAAAGCTTGTGCTTATCAGAAGATAGAGCCCCCATTTGAAAGGAGATATGTAACTCAAATTTCCTAAGTTACTCATTGATCATGAGAAAGTCTAAGAAATTATATAATGCAAAATGATATGACAGGAACTTCTTGTACAAAGGAAACTTTAAAGACCTTTAAAAAACTCAACAAACTTCCAAGAACACATTTTATTTAAAACACTTTTAGTTTATTCAAAACTAATGACTTGCTATAGAACTAGCTATGAGGCTTTTTATTGTGTAAATAGCCCCTGAGTTTAAAAATATTAAGTAATTTATAACTTTAATTGAATCCAACTTGCTTTGAAAATATTTATATTTGGTTATTTTAGTAAATATTAATTTTCTTTCTTTTAACAATGATTTTATAAAACACAATATACATGAATGATCTTATGAAACATAGTGTTAAGGAATGTGTGAAATATGATGTACCGGAATAAAACACAATGTATATGAGCTTTTTATGCAAACTAGTATAAAATGTTTGAAAATATAAATACTGTGTGTAGTACATTGTAGGGTAAGTTGGAAATAAAAGAAGTAAAAAAAATCCTCTTCTAACATGAAAATATTGGTTCCTGTTTTTCCTCCAGCATTCTCTTATGTAAAAAAATCATGAAAGTAAAGTACAAATAACTTTACAATAAGTGATTATATGTATACACCCCCTCCAGTGTTATAATCAACATTTTATTATGACTATTTTAGCATATATCTCTCCATCTATATATTAATATATCTGCCAGTCTGGAAACTAAGGGGCTCCTGATCTAGGCCATGGTTTTTGCAATTACTTGCTTTGCATCAGAAAGCTGGACAGTGACTAGGGAAAATAAAAGGAGAATTGATGCCTTTGAGTTGTGGTGCTAGAAAAGAGTATTGGTTATACCATGGACTGCTAGGAGAACAAACAGGTTCTTCCTAGAGAGGATGAGACCAGGCTGCTCCTTGGAGGCAAGGATTCTAAAGCTCCGTCTGACATACTTTGAACATGTTGCAAGGAGGTACCAGTCCTTGGAGAGGGACGTCATGCTTTAAAGGGTGGAGGCAGAGCTCAAGAGAGGAAGACCCTTGATTAGATAGATTGACTCAGTGACTGAGTTATTGGGGGGGTGGATGTGTCAGAGACAATAAGGTTGGCTCATGATAGAGCAGGGTTTAGGGCTGTTGTAAATAGGGTAACTATGAGTTGCAGGCAACTTGACAGCACATAACAACAACATCCGTCTATTCACTCATCTATTCCTTGTATGGTTGCTTTTCAAAGAAAATTGCAGAAATAACTACTTAACCAGTTACCATTACATCAACTGTGATGCCTGGCAGCCCATATGTGTTGAAGTAGAAGTGTACTTCGTAGAGTCTTCATTGACTGACATTTTCTGCAAGGAGATCCCCAGGACTGTCTTCCAAGGCTCTGGGATGCACAGTAACCTCAACTTTAGGGTTTGTAACTAAGCATGTTCTCAGTTTGCAGCATCCATCACAGCACTTCTCACTAAATGCTTCAGGATGTGTACCATTAGTTAAGGTTCAGTCATTCTTTGTAGATTTTTTTCAAGTGGAGTCCATGTAAATATAAATCTTAAATGTGTATCAGATAGTTTTCTACCAAAAGCTACATCTTTGTAATGCAAACTTGGATACAGAAGAAACATTGAACTCAAAAAACATTCCCTATACCCATTCCCAGTTAGCCCTTTCTTTCAACATTGAGAGGTAATGACTGTTCTGATTTTTCCCACCATATATTCATTTGCCTCTACTAGAATTTCATATCAGTAATACTAAACTGTTATAATACTCTTCTGTATTTCTTTGAGGCTTCTTTCTTCCAGTGGCTTTTAAGGCATATCATTAGTTCTTTTTTATGATTAATATTCCAGTGTGTGTGTGCACGATCGTGCACGTGCTCTACCAAGTCAGTTGCTCTGACCTTTGCCCTGTCCTGAGCTTACCTCACTCCTGAGCCATCTTCTTCATCTCCAACACACCAGACACCATTGTCATAGTCACTATGTCAATTCATCTCATCCAGGTTCCTTTACTTGTGCTGATCTTCTGCCTTTCCAAGCATAATGTCCTTCCCCAAGGACTAGCCTCTCCTGACAACATGTGCAAAGTAAATGAGACCTTCTCTAGGATGTTGTTGTTGTGTACTCTCAAGTCGGAATTGATGCATAGCTGACTTCCATCCTTCTCCCATGGCACTTCCTTTTCCCTTGAAGCAGCTAGTGGCCTTGTGCCACGTGCCTTCAGTATTGCAGTGCAACTTCTTGCCACTAGGCCATCAGAGCTCCCAAGGGTAGACCTGATTATTTTTTTGGCAGCCATGGTATGTTCAGTACTCTTCTCCAGCACCACAGCTCAACGACATCAGTTCTTTAGTCTTTGTCCAGCTTACAGGTGCATATCAGGCAATTGAGAAGACCATGGCCTGGATCAAGCACGCATCAGACTCTAAATTGACATCATTGTTTTGTAGCACTTTGCAGTGGTCCTTGACAGCAGCTTTTCCCAGTGCAGCACATCTTTTGATTTCCTGACTGCTGATGCCAAGGGTGTTGATTGTGTGGCTGAGCATGAAATGAATAGTAGCCTCATTCTCTTCTCCATCATTCATGGTGCTGTGCTGTTGGACCAGTGGTGAGGATTTTTTCTTTTTATTTATATTAAGATGCAATCCATACTGAAGGTTGAAGGCTGTAATCCTTCATCTTCTGAAGCAAGCACTTAAGCCATCTCAGTTTCAGTGAGCAAAGTTGTATCACCTGTATAATGCAATTTGTTGATGAGTCTTCCTTCAGTTTTTATGCTACATTGTTCTTTTTTCTCAAAAAATCTTTCTGTGAATTTTATTTCTTTTTATATAGGTAAGTAAACTAAGAAAGGAGAATCAAGTGTTTTAGGTCATAATTGCCATGAAATTATTCATAATACTCCTGAATGGACGTGAATCAAAAGCTTTTTAAGTAATGTTAAAATAAATGCTTGATCTATCAAATAGACTTAATGGAGAGAATAAACAAAACACAAAGGATATATATTAGACTTCAAAGCATAAAAGAATTTTGCCAAATTATTTTCAGTTTCAGTGTTTTTGTTTGCTTTTTAGAGTGTGTCTTCTACTTCACCTCACACACTCTTCTGTCTAAGTACAGTAGAAATCTTGCTTTAGGACAGAAAGCCATTAACACACAGGTGAACCTAGTGCATATCATGTTGTGTTCCTGGACCTAATTATCGATGAAAAAACCTAAAGTGAAGAACTGTTCACAAATACATATAGCCACTCCTTTGGCATGACAATCAAAAGCTTTTTCCTTCTAGCTCCGAAACCACCTCCTTCTTAAATAGCGAGGTAGACCCTTTTTTTCCTATCTTTACTCGGGTTGAAGCTTGAAAGAGTAGTCTACCCAGATGTTATCACTCACTGCTCTCTTGTTCTCTTTAATCTAGTGCAATATGACTTCTTACTCTTTCACTCCAGAGAACTATCCCTACATGATCTTGTAACCAATATCTGTTGTTGTTGTGTACCACTGAGTCAAAATCAAACAATAGCTGACCTTTTAGTGGGTTTCCAGAGACAGCAGATCACACAGGAGGAGACTGCCCATCCTTCTCCCATTGAGCAGCTAGTGGGTTTAAACCATGTATCTTTGAGATTGCAAAACAATTTCTTGCCACTAGGCTACCAGAATGCTACATTTTTCTTAATACTGCCTCTTGAATGATCTGTCCAGCATACAGATTGAAAAGAAATGGAGAAAGGATACGTCTCTACTGTACTCCTTTCTTGATCTTGAACCATGCAGTGTTTCCTTGCTCTGTTCAGACGATAGCTGGTATAGTTATAGATTTCACATGAGCACAATCAAGTGTTCTGGGATTCCCATTCTTCTCAATGTCAGCCACAATTTGTTGTGATCCACACAATTAGAGACCTTTGCATGTTGTTATGTTGTTGTTGTTATGTGCCATCGAGTCACTTGCGACTCATAGCGACCCTATGTACAACAGCTCTAAACTCTGCTCTGTCCTGTGCCAATCTCATTGTCTCCAACACACTCATCCCGTTTGCCCCAGTCACCAAATCACTCCATCTCCCAGAGGGC